CATAGCAATAACATTATTGTGTCATTGGTTAATTCTGCCCAGCGTCTGACCTTAGCACATGTTTACTTCGCTCTACAGACTTGTGATTTGGGCTATATCCCATATGCAGTCAAATCATGTGACTTTGCAGTATGTGTGCTTGCAATGGAACAGGAGACCTTGTAATTGCAGCAGAGCACCTCTAACTCTCTTCTACTGAGACTAGCTAAGGTGTATTGCTTATTTAGTCCTACGTGCTTTTTAAACAAACCTGGAAAAAATAAAGAGAACTTGAGTCTGTGCCGAGTATTTCAGCTGCATGACAGTCTTAATTGCTAACGCATTCTCAAATGGACAGTGCTGTGCCAACAGACATTTGTTAGCCTTCAAACCCAGAAATAATGTTAAGTTTATATTTGGACATCAATACATGAACCGCACAGGATACAGTCGTACACTTTTTGCAGTTATCTCTGTCGTTTTTTATGCAAACAAAGCCCAATTACCCCACTGCTTCATCACGGAGAACTTGCAGAATATTTCAGGCTCTATGCAAACAGCTTATGTCCTCATTTAACAGGAAACTCATGCTTGGCTTTATGGACTATTTGCATCATTATCACGGTGATAATGATAACCTTAACTTTGAGCTTTGAAAGTAGATAAGCAGGAGCTCACCTGATGTTGGAGGCTTGCTCTGTGAATTCTGTGGCTACAAGCGAGAAATATTTCCGCATCTTGATCCAGAGGTTGGGTTTGGGGATGCAGCCGTTGTGTGCATGGATGGCGTGGATACGAGCCATTTCCCTGGCTATCAGCCTGAGCGCAGACAGACAGAACAAGGTTACAGTCGTGGCAAGATTTCAACTACAGAACATTAGTATCTAGTTGTAAAGAATCCCCACAGTACAATGGCAGAGTGTCCTACTTCATTTATCTACAAGGACAAATTTTGGTTACAGAGTTCTGGAGATAGTTGAATTAAAACAAGCAAATACATAATGTCACGACACAGAGCTGACGTCCACAATGGGAAGACTGTTTCACAGTCAAAACATTGTGTTACCAGATAAAGCATTCCCTCTAAATGTTGCGTTTCAGCTCAGAACCTTGTGGAATTGTCCGTTTTCTTCATTATACAGTTCTTTTTTTGTGTGTCCTGTGCATTTCTCTATGTGTCTAATCTTTGTTGTATGAGGCAGAAAAGCACTGATGTTAAAATTTTCACCATCTTTGAGTAAACTCAAAAAACCCATTCAAACATTGCTGTGACAAATTCACACCTGAGCAGAGTAGGATCTCTGACATCCTGCGTTCCAAGTGCATCTCCCTGCATGAACTCATAGCAGATGCCATTTAGAAAGGTGCAGTAGAGGCGAGGAGCACAACCATTAGCATGCAGCACCTAGGAGACACACAAAAAGATGACAATGAGGTAGGAGCGAACAACTGCTTACGTTAATTAATTTAGGACTCTGCAACGCGGCAACACTACCTGAAAGCTCTTAAGCTCATTGTCTCGGTCCACAATCAGCTCTGTTTTGTTTCCATATACTCGGACCAGGACTACGTCCTCTGGACTGTCGTCCACGTAGCAGCCCACTAGCTTGTTGGTGGTTCCATCGGTGAAGAGCTGGAAAAAGATGAAACCACATCTCGTCTCAAACAGAGCCTCTGATTGTACAGCGCCATGGTGCTTCAGGACTGTTTTCCTTAAAGCTATTAGTTACCTGTAAGTCAACATCAACACTGAAGACACCATACAGCTTTGACCTACATGAGATGAATGTGTCAGAACGCCTCCGCAGGGTTCACAGAAGACTTGAGCTAAATTGAAGTGGTTTTTAAGTCATCTTACTAAGATTTTGCTTGAATAATAGTTGTGCAAGAACATGAGAACAGGGCATGGTCAGTCTGTGTTAGCAAGAGCAGTGTATGGACAGTGACATGGAGAGGGATATTACAGTGGGGCATCAAAAATGAATGCACACTACAGAGTGTAGTGGTTCAACAGCCCTCTGCAGAGGTCTACACAGATATAGTCCTCAGATAGAGTCATCTGCCACCATGTTCTCGACAAGTGGTTGAGTGTTTGTGTGGCATCCACCAAGCCCACTTGTCCCCTTACGCTGATGACGATGATGACATACCAACATTATACTGAGTTACTCCCTTTAGTCTAAGAGTAAACATTTTTATCTTGATCATAACATCCTGGACGGTACGCTGGTGCAGTAGTAATAACTGTCACGTCACAGCAAGAAGGTCCAGGGTTCAAATCCATCAACTGTGTGGACCTTGCATATTCTGCCAGTGCCTGCGTAGGTGCCCCCCATGTATTCTGATTTCCTCCCACAGTCCAAAGGTTAACTGGTGATTTTATCTATCTGGCTACAGGATGTTTTTAAGCTTGTAATGTACACCCAGTATTTGTTTCATATCGGCTCACGTTCACACTGTAAACGAACTGTAAATGAACTTCTCTGGAGTTCGTTTGGACTTTGGACTGTTGGTTCTTGGTGTGGTTGTTTTGGTCCACATGTGAGTGCAGTTACTATGTTCACATCTACACAAACAAACCAGAGTTCAATTAAAACGGACTAAACAGCGTAGGTGTAAAAACACCCTGAGTGTTCCTTCATATCACTGCTGAAGACTTCTTGCACGTCGCCTGATCAGTCTTAAAGAGTGATGCTGTCAACAAGCTGAGTCAAATGCTTTTTTCTCAAATGAAGAGTTTTCTAAAATGAAAAGTTGGCAAAAAGCCTTGTGTGTCTGAAACTTGGCCTTAAAAAACAAAAAACTCAGAGTGACAGCGTGAGTCCAGTGGACAGTGGTGGGCCGGTCCGTCCCGCTGCAGTGGACACAATAACAACATACACACTGCCTGCATCTCCCCCCAAGGACCAGACGCTCACTCACGCATATCTGGCATTCCACACGTGGCTCACCACAAAGATGGGCGACAGACATCCCTGACATCCCTGTTATGACCATTCATACACAAGCATACACGCCTTTGCCAAAACGTGACTGATCCCTTCTGCCCGCCACACAATACGCTGCTAAGACCTACGATCAATACATCGACAGACAGCGATAAGCTTGGACCCAGACAGAGGTAAACATTCTGCCATATACTGCTTGCATGGGACATTGATGGTGGCATCCCCCCCCTCCCCTCAACCACCCCACTACCAATAACCGGCTCCCTGTAGGGTGACCTCACTGTACAGGCTGGAACAGGTTTCCTTTGATTGACATGAATCTTTGAGTCTTCGTTATGTGAAACTTGTAAGAGGAGACCATTTCTCTGTCGCTTCAGGCACTCTGCCATTTTCAGGAAGTGTGTGGATGTTTGGCAATAGACAATAAAAATCTCCCTGTCCAGGTGGCAGGGCCGGTCAGGTCTTCCTGTCAGCAGTGCAGGTGTATAAATCTACTTTCAGAGTGGTAGTCGTTGAGAGAAGTTTTGCCAGTCTGGCCTGGAAAAGTCGAGGTAAACACGGTCACATCCTCAGCTGCAGGTGGCTGTTGTGCGAGGCCCGGGGAGAGGAGTGACCAGGATGTAAATACAGGGCTGAAGCATCTGGGCTTAGACTGTGCCACTGGCGACTTTTAACAGTTCTGTAGTTCTCACTGCTCCAAAAACTTTGACCCAGCTACGACACAACAGTTACTAGATCCTTTTACCTGAAATCAATTATGCATTTTCCTTTCCCTGACGAGTCAAGTCTCTGTGGATTACCTAACACCACCACACTTCTAGGGAAAGCTTTTAAAAAGACTTCTTGGAACCATATCTGCCACCAACTGTTATTATATTACAATGAATAAAGGTGCTGATAAGCACCATTGTCTACATACCCAATGGTACAGTATGTCATGACATTGTTATAGGGGTGGATGTTTAGCTCTTGGCCTATATTATTAAAGCGCATTGTTATTATCGTCCCACATTAAAGTATAAGCAAAAGCACAAACCTGAGGTAGGCCTATAATGATGAATTCCATATAAGAGTTTCCTTTAACTTTGTAAATCAACATCAAGGCTTTACTTCCAACCTTTTAATCTCCTGTTTAATGCAAAGTTAATTTGCAAATATTAGATATAGATTTTAATCCCATAGTAGGGAAATTCACTTGTTACAGGAGCATGAGGGTCTGAAAAAAAAGGGAATTAGAGATGTATTCAAAAACAATAAAAATAAACAAATAAGCTTAAATAAGATAAACCTGCTAAAAATTAAGATCAATACCATTCATACAATTTTTCTCCTGTTGACTCTCAGGCCTGATCACTCCATCAAGACAAAATGATTTCCACTGTTTAAAAATTCATGACAACTACTCAATAAAAGTTCAGCTCTAACATAACGAATGAATAAATCGTCCAGTATCTGATAATGGGATGCAGGGGCACCAGGCTAAGCAGGGAGCCCAGATCTCCCTCTCACCAACCGGCGAGCCCTCCGGTTTATCCGGGGACTTATTGGGGTGTTTCCAGGCCAGCCGAGAGACAGAATCTCTCCAGCGTGTCCTTGGTCTGCCCCATGCCTCCTCCAGGTAGGACATACCCAACTAAAACACCTTACCCAGGAGGCAATACCTCAACTGACTCCTTTCGATGTGGAGGAACAGCGGCTCTACTCTGAACCCCTCCCAAATGACTCAATTCCTCTTCCTGTGCTAATGGAGAGCTTATCTACAGTTCGGAGAAAGCTCTTTTGCAAAGCATGCATCTGCAATCTCATTCTTTCCCCTTTAAAAGAACCAATAATGTCCTGTCTGCCTGCATCTGAATTTGTATTCTCAGATGGCTGGCATCACCATCAGCCCACATACCATAACAGTAGATGGCTTTTGTTTGGATAAAAGGATAAAAGTTTTCAAAGGTCGACAGCTACATGTATTTTCGATCTGCATGAGTAAATAATGCCGCCTTGTGAGAGATGGAGAACACGCTTAAACAAACTACCACATGTAAATCTTACGGTTTGCTGACTTAGACTTTTACAGTGCAGGGTCACTAAAATTCCAGTAGTAATAATTTGTGACATTAATGTTATGACATAACAGTAAAGTATTTTTCCATTGTCAGGTAAATCATTCTTACAGTTTAAATGAGCTGCTACTAACAGCCTGGGCTGCTGGTGAGAAGCAAAGATTGGTGGGATTTGACCTGTAAGGCAAGGTTGGCAGAGGTGTGCTCACGTGTTGGTGCCCGATCTACGGCAGCTATAAATAAATGTTGATTAGTACATCTAGTAGCACAGTAACTATTACGCTAAATTAAACTCAAAGAAGTTCCAATGATTGCTGGAGGGCAAGCAGTACTGTTTTTGCCATTCAGGTGGACGTGTCCCAGTAATCTGACATCACCTGAAAGCTAGAGAGACATGTTGGCTTGCTAATGCCCATCAGTGATAAGATACATATGACTGGGGCTGATGTTTAATCTCTGCTTTTGTAGCTGAGGAAATGTTCAAAGAGATGAAAGACTTTAAAACACTTTAAAAGTTTTTTATTTTACAACAACAACAATATTATCCTGAGACTCAGCCTATTTGCTATATCCTCTGTAGTGGACATAGTAAAACTGGAAGATGCTTTTTCCCAACGGTTCTTTGTTTATTAAACACACACACACACTTCTTTAGTACTATTTTTTAAGAAAACATTTAAACAGTTTAAAAGAAGAGACTGTATATCTTGGCCTCCAACATGTACACTCCATTGAAGTCCAAAAGAAAGTGTGTCTAATATCATTAGGATTCACACACATGTATTTGGGAAGAAACGAGACAACAATCAGCTGCAGGCTATAATGAACACAAAGCTCAGGGACCTGCTGTAACACAGTCTGTCCCTTTGAACTAGTAATTATTACCAATCACCGTTCCTCTATCAAACTGACCATCGCGCCACCATCAGCTGTCCTCCGACACCAAGATGACAGCGCGACTTATACCAGCTTTCACACCGTCTTTAAGTGCCCTACGCGATGTGCACTTTGGGCATACACTACAGATAAGAACTGTACCAAGTTTTGGGACATCCTGGTGCAAGTTTGCTAATTAATTAGAACACCTTGATAGCTACGGTAACCTATAAATGTAAATTTTCTCTAAAGCAAAACCAATGTAAAAGTCTTAGCTGGTAAAGAAAATAGAAATAGTCAACTATATTCGGTGCAATAAAATAAATTCAGCTAGGCGACATGTCAGGTTGCCACGACCCTCCTACTAGCTTGCCGGTGATGCTGCAAAGCTGTCAATCCTTTCCTAGCCTAGCATAATCAGTACAGCTAGCTTTGCGGCTAACGTTACCTTGGTCTTGACGTCGCTCGAGTCCCACGCCGGTCTCAGCTCTTTAATGAGCGTCATCGCTCCCTCCGTTACGTTGCGCTCGTCCACGAAAACTGGGATTTTTCTAATTACCGGCGAGCCCACGGGTACATGTATTTGCGTCTCCATTCTGCAGCAATTTCTCTGAAACGTTAATCTCCAAGCCCTTGGCGTATATTTCTAAAAAAAATGCACCATAGGAGTGCCGCTTGGTTTAGAAGTAAGTGTTGGTGTGGTTTTTGTGAGTGACCTAAGACTGGCTCAAGAGATTTAACACGCTGCTGTAACGTTGAGTTGAAAGCGGTACAGATGTACGATGAAACTGCCGGGTACTGATGCTCGTCGCCGGTTTTCTTAGGAGGAGTCATCCAACTGTACCATTTCCTCCTAATTGGCTCCGCCCGCCCGGGATCATCCGATTGTACCGCCGGTTGAGACGCACTGCATTCGAGCCCGCCCATTTTTCCGAAGATGCCCGAGCAGTGTCGGGTTCAGCCGAATGGTAGCTTATAAAATGGAAAAATTCATTTTGAAAGTGAAGCCTGGAATTAGTGATGGGACGCGCTGTGCCGAGGTTTCGGAGTGTCGAGAAATCCAGGAAGGCTTTTATCAAGCGCGTGCCGAGGCTTGCTTCTTTAAGGGCGAGTGACGTCACTAATGATGTCTGAAGCCTGGCTGTTTTAGCAGGTGGTTCGAGCGTTGGTGTGATTTATGATTTATAGATATTTATAGTCTTCCCGTTGGAGTTTCACATCTGACATAGACGAGCTTACCATGGAGCACGCTAAAAGGAGAAGGGCTTCCCCCTATATAACAACACTTTCTCCCAGTAAATGAATACACATAAGTCGCAAGTCTTTCTTTTTAGTTTTTGTTGTTTTGGGGTGTTTTTTTTTTTTCCATTCCAAGGTGAAGCATTTGTTGTATGCCAAGCAACCGGGGTACAACGACAACACCTGTTCTATAGTATCATCTAGGCTGAAATGCAAATATACAAACCAGGCTTGCTGTCTGTCTATTTTGTTTGTATACACCCCTGCTTCCTCCTGCACTACATAAGAGGGTTTTTTTTTTCTAAAGTTGGAGAGGTTATTACCAAAAAGAGAAACTGGCTGAGTCAAGCATAGTGGAAAACCAATGATTTTTTTTAATACAAATAAATAAAGTCACCCTCACTGCAGTATTCATATTCACACTGCAAAGGTTTTAAAATAAACATCTCACCTGTTTACACACTGACTGAAAGCATACTGGCACTTATTTGACATTGATATCCTTCTATAACTATTGCCTCAACATTATTAAAAAACAAATTAGATGAACAAAAGAATAAACCACAAAAATTCAGATTAAGGTGTTTTAATTTCTTGCTAGCTATTACTCCCACGCTGACACTGTTGTAAGGCACCCAAGAGGAATAATAAATAGATGAAATGCAATAAAGGTTTTGACCACCAGGGGGTGGTGAGGCTTCATCTGGCCAACACTACCTGCATTTTCTAATGAAAGAAAAATAAACTGTAAAGAAGTCGCCCACATTAAGACAGTAGTCAATGTAAACAGACTAGACTCTACTTCAGTTACTGATTTTGTTTTTATCAGAACTGATCAAGTTTTTATAAATGTTCTAGATATTTCATCGACAGTCTAAAATGTATAAACAGGTAAGTATAAGACCACAGGATAAGTGTATCCCTATATATAAGATTAATGCACGTGTGTAAAATAATAATAATAATAATACATTTTATTTGAAAGCACCTTTCAGAACACTCAAGGACACTGTACACAGCAGAATAATAAAAACAACATAAAAGCAAGCAGTTTACACAATCATAAAAGCATAAGACATAAAACAAATTTAAAATAGCAGAGTGATAGGTTATGTGGGATAAGCTATTTTGAACAAATGATTTTTGAGTTGGGACTTAAAGAGAGAGAGAAGGGGGTGATATTTCTTAAATCAGGAGGTAGGGAATTCCAGAGTCGAGGAGCAGAGCAGCTGGATGCCCTGCTCCCCATGGTGGAAGGAGGGGGGGAGGGGACAGAGAGAGAAAGAGAAGAAGAAGACACCGAGATGGTGATCTAAACCAGATCAGAGAGATATGGAGGGGAGAGATGATGAATAGCCTTAAATGTGTACAAGAATATTTTGAAATTGATGCGATATTCGACCGGGAGCCAATGAAGCCGCTGCAGGACAGGAGTGATGTGATGGCTAGAAAGGGTCCTGGTGATAATACGGGCAGCAGAGTTCTGGACACGTTGAAGCTTGTGGATTGATTTTTGAGTAAGACCAAAAAGAAGTGAATTACAGTAATCAATCCGGGAAGTAACAAGACTATGAACAAGAATGGCATTAAAAAGCATTAAAGAGGCTGACTCTTTGTTTTGAGGTGTAACAGGCTGCGAACTTGTGATGGAACTGTGGAGAAGTAAGTGTGTGCACAGATGGACACATGAGTCTCCTGTAGAAAGACAAAGTCTCCCCGATAGTCATTTAATCGGTTAGTAATTTTTCTTTTCCCTGGAACCAATTCCATGTACATCCAATGTGACAAACCTCAGTTTGGTCATGTTTGGAGTGTTGATTGTTTACTTAATATGTGCGTTTGTGGGCGTGTGTGTGTGTATGTATGCACATCTGTTCGTGTTGTACGGCTGTGTATGTGTCTGTGCTGTATATAGGAGTGTGTGTGTTTGGTATGGCTGTGTATATATGAGTGTTCTGTCTGTTTATGTGGTAAATGGCTTCATAGGGAACGCCTCATCAGCCACAATCACATATAGCACTGGTGCCAATCTGGTGCTGAAGGTAGAGGAGAGGCTGGTGGGACATGGAATGGGATGGGAATTGGCAAAGATGCCTCCATCGCTGTTGCTGCAAAAACGTCTGATTTCAACTGCAAGAAATCTATAGTGGCATCCACAAGTACCAACAGGACTATTGAAAATGTTCCTTTATAACTGGAATACAAAGAGCCAGAGTTCAGCGATGCTTGTATAATCATGTGCTTCCCGTCCAGCACACCTACACAATTGGGAATTTCACTGTTCCTCAAAGCTCCTGGCAGTTTTCTGTCATGTCTCCTCTGTATTGAATGGCATATGACTGCCTTTCATGGTTTCACTGATGAGGTCGCAAGTTCCTTTGACTATTTGGGCCACAGTGGAAATCCCAGGTGTAAACTGCTAACCGTGGTGGTGAAAGGATCACGAGTGCTACGAAATCTGCAAAAACATAAGATGATTTGAGTCCTAACAATTCTAAATGTGTAAAATATTGAAGACGAAAGATTTGACAGAAAATCTCAATGTTCAAACTGTATTTGCATGTTTTTATTTACTCAGTTCACCCATGCTTTTTATAGTAGTTTTTACATTTACAGTTTAAAATATTAACCTTAAAAATCCTATAGCAGTTTTTACTATATAAACAATATGATGCTAGGCACTGCATTAGTGTGCTTGTAGCTCCAAACGCACACTCAATATACAATGATATGGAAATAGCAAAACAATAGTTTTACCTCAGACACACAACTAGACGCTTCTCTGAGTCAGTTGGCTCTGTGAAATTACTCTGCCTCCTCAGATGTGGTCCCAACCGTCACAATAAGAGTTCAACCTGCCCCACTGACAGCCATGACGCAGCTCCATGAAAAAAGCCATGAAATACTCTCTTCTGCTGCCTCCTCTTGGAAATTGGACGAACCCAGAATGTTAACTTAACAAACTTGTAGGAATTGATTTAAACCAAGATGTTATATTATATAATCTGTAAAAGTGCAAAACATAAACAAACCTGGGATAGTAGATGTTTGCCTATTGCAGACTACATATGAAATATCGTTAAATCAAATCAAGAATGTTAACTAAGAATATGGACAAGTAGTGTTGTCACCCACTTTGTCACAGTGAGCACGAGAAACAGCTCGTCACTTATGTCTGTGTTTATATTTCTATTATCTGTTTTAAATTGCTCCTTCTGTCTCTCTGTAAAACACTGTGAATTTACTTGTGTCTGAGTTGTACTGTACAGTTTGACTGAATAAATGCACAAACGGCGTCCCACCAAAATGAAGAGAGCACAAA